CGTATACACATACAAATAATTATATAGACATACATATAAATACATAAATACACACTTATATACATATATATATAGACGCCTACTGATTTGCACATACATAGTGAGAAGTACGATAAATGCTGAAATGAGCCATACCTGAGCAGCCGTATCGATGCCTCTAAAGCCAGATTTGATAGCCTGCGTGATGGATGCATATAATCATAGATATGTTAGGAACGATAAAGCACTTTCTCATAAAATCGAGCTAAAACATAGCCTGCAATAGACCTGACTGCTCCACACATGTTGTTGCCTGTCGATGGGCAACGGACAACAACACTCGATAAACTCTATCGGTACACGATAAAACGAATAGGTGGTCGATCTGCAGATAACTACTATTGTATATCTGTGAACTGCACATACAACACATTTTAAACAACCGAGCATAACTTATACAATTACTATCCGCATGGAGAATGATAGTTTTATCAAGGCTATCCTATTGGTAACCACTTTACTGATCTCTTATATACCAGCTGTGCAACCCTTGATCTGAAGAGAATATAATATACAACAAATGGCCATATGGCCTTATACATAAATATGTTACGTTTTTTATAGTGATTATACTAGTTTGTTTATATTCACCTTATATACCAGTTCAGTGGTTCGCTCCTTCTTCCACGCTGTGCCATACAGCAGGCGTGGCATGGTTACAGAGGCAGCCATATCTTAGTCTTATTAAAAGTGTAGTTAAATTAAATATGAAATTTATAAATGTACATACATGATATATTTACGTGTATTTATATTCAAAAATACTGTGGAGGTCAAGAGCTATTGCTATTGAATATTTTATTACACACTGTACATCATGCTTTTTATTTACGTTTCCTTCACGGCATCGTCCAAAAACACAGGTCTGCAGCTTCTCTGATGTTTACATAGTAGTCACAGTATCGCGACTCGCGCACTGTTCAAACAATGGCGTGTGCTAGATGTGATATAAAGAATTGTGTATGAAACATGTCCACACATAAATATTTTATTAGTCCTCGTTCTGTTCGATATATTCAGAAGATTACGTTTGTACATAGGCAATTCGCACGCATCCAGAATATGAGGCAAAACGTGGAGATCCTATGTATGTAATCAGTATGTCCTCTCTACTAGTATTATTTAGCGGCAGTCAGTTCCCCATTAATGCTGGCCTTGTTTCAGATTCAGATCGATCGGAAAATATTAAGAGATACAGATATAAGAATGCCGTGTGGTTCGAGGGTGACTGACAAACGCGGGTCGCTCTTGTAGGCGGGCGAGTTTCATCGTATTAGTCGGACACTTTTTGCAACATTGAAGGAGGTTGATGACAGCCCTCTAAAGCCCTCTAAATCGAACAAACTGTAGTGTCTAAACAAAGAAATGGAATGTCTCTACTTTATTACGATAAATAAAGACTCGCGAGTCTGAGAGGATGCCTTTCAAAAGAAAAATTATCAGAATGAACGGCTAAACTAACAAGAGAAGAGGTTCAAGGACCAGCGGACAGCCCCAGTCCTCCGCATCAGGCTCAGGCCCAGCCGCCGCCTCATACTCTAGTGTCTAGTGTTACTGTCGCACACTCACTGTCATTCTACTAGTAGATAGAGTCCACTAAAAGTCTTACCAGAGAGTCCAGACTCCAAACTTGGGCCTCTCCAGTCTCAGGGTCTCTCTCATACACACACTCACACTCTCTCTACTATTCCTAGAGAGTTTACTAAATACTACTACTACCAGTAGTAGACTAGTAGTAGTAGAGAGAGTCTCTACTCTGAGAGAATAGAGACTCTCTCTACAGCTAGAGAGTCTCTACTTTAAAAGAATAGAGACTCTCTCGATACAGCAGCCAGAGACTGGAGAAGAGGGGTTGCAGCACTGCTAGCCACTGGGGCCAGGTGGCAGGTGCCCTCTTCCACAAGTTCAACTCCTGTACTGCAGAACTGCAGTCTGCTGGAATATTCGAATATAGATCGAATAGAATGGGGTGAAATTGGAAATGCCATAGTCTTCTATTTTTTAATTTTGAAAAAACAATGTACTGTACAGTGTACACTCTGTACAGTACAGAGCCTTGTTCTTTTTCAGGGGTATTCACTGAAAATATAGTGATTATACTCGGTAGTATGCAGTATGTACTACTTCTAGTAGAGAGAGTGAGTAGGGAGTAGGGAGTTAGAGACTACTGACTAGTAGTCTCATCAGTCTCTCAGCCTAAGCTCATTACGTTATGGGGTACGGAATACAAGTAACGTAAATGAATATTTACTATTCAATTTTGAAACGTTATAACGGTTATATTGTGATCAGAAGGGCCTACCTTAGTTCTTTTTAAAAGGCTGATTCGTATGGTGGAAACGGTACACACTCAAATGTTTAGTCCCGCAAGGTGCACCTATGATCATACAAAGGACCGAATATGGAATGGAAATTGAACGTGAACGTATATTTATTCGATATATAAAAGTTTAACGGGAAACAGTTTGAGGCTAGCTCTCAGCTGATTCAGCTCATCAGTCTGTAAATATGTTTGAAAATAAATTATTTATACCCCAGACATTGTCCACTTTTGTTTAAAAAGAAAAGTAGATTTATTAGTCATGAATAAATACATACATAATTATCATAAATATCAAATATATACACTGTCACGCCTCATGAGTCCTCGACTCCTCGGACCTTCTCCAGTCAACAGTCTACAGACAGTCTACACTCTAAATACACTCTACACTACAGTCTAAAAATACAGTATTTTTTTAACAGAAGTTATGACTCTATAACGAGTACACTCATACTGCTGCTACAATAACAGCCCTGAAACTTTCAACATTAAGAAAAAGTATCACGCAACGGGCCAACGACCCAAGTCCCAACAGTCGCGATGACTCACTGGCCACCAATCAAAGTGAAGATTCCGGTCACAGAACATGTCGACTAATCGAAAATTCGAGTTTCACATATATAAAACCAACAGGAGTCGGGGAGAAGATAAAAGAATCATCTGTTCGCGTGAATCATCACTATTTATTTTATATTTAGTATTCTTTCTTTATCCTACACACGCGCTTTGCCAGCAGAGTCAGCAGTCGCCTTATCCCCACACTATTTGTAAACAATCGATCATATATTTACCTCTCCTTCCCGTCACTATTGAACAGTTACCTATTGAATGAATACAATATTTGAGTTTGCAATCCGATACAATGAACGGGAGAGAGTCTAAAGGAACCAGCCACAAAAAAAACCCACGGAATAAGGCGAGGTCTGTATCACCGAATCTGTCACGTGGAGCTTCACCAACTCGGCCAAAGACACCTTCAGGAAAGAGCTCATTGGACCCCAACGACCTGTTTGAAGGCAACAGTGGTTCAGGTGAGCGTAAACTCTTTTGTATCAATATACGTTGTATATATTATTTATAAATATATATATATATATTACATATATGTACATATATATATATATATATATATGTATGTGTGTGTGTATGTATGTGTGTATGTGTGTGTTTATATACATATACATATACATATGTATATATGTATATGTCTACATGTATGTATATATATACATATATGTTTATATATATCTATATATGTATATATATATATATATATACATATCTATGCATATATATATTTTTATTATAGATATATGTGTGTGTGTGTGTTTGCGTTTGTGTGTGTTTTAATTACGATTATATGTATATATATATATATATATGCGTGTGTGTGTGTGTGTGTATGTGTATATATGTGTGTGTGTG